GAGGCAGCATTTCGCTGGCAGGTAGGAAATTGCAGCGCAGTCCCACGATCTCTCGAGGTCGAACTGAGCGCAAAGCTCCGACATGTGTGCCCCCAATGCGTCGACCGGCGCCGGCGCAGTCGCAAGCGCATCCAATATATTTATTATATCTACACTATGTTTATACTGTACCGTTTATGTAGTCGTAAATAACAGTTAGAGTATGATTTATTAATATAGAGATTCAAAGCTTTAAAGCATTCGCTCCTTGAAATACACATGCCAAAAAGAAAAATAAACTGCCATCTTTAGAGTTATCCCATGCCAGTCATTCTTTAAAAAAATTACAGTTATTTTGCGAAAAGTTGTACAGTTATATGGCGAGTGCGCTATAAGTTTTTAATTCATTATAATATAATAAAATTATTGTATGTATGTACTTACAAGAAGGTAAAAGGTCAACGATGTATCGATTTTATATTCTTTGTGGTCTTACTAAGAAAACCATTAAATCAAAGTTAATTTACTCACAGTTAAATATCCTGCGTAACTCTCCATATCAGGTAGGGTGTACCCTGGATCGACAAAGGCGGCTTTCCTCGCCTCTTCCAGTTTCTTCTCTTCAATATACGGCGTGAGGAGTAAGGGTTCCCCTGCGTCGTAGCCTGCCCGGACTCGTCCACTGTGGTATGTCTTCTCCATGAAGGTCAGAATGGGCTCCGGCGCCTCCCCAGGAGGTAACTCGGGTAATAAATAATGCTCCGTGCATATTATTAGTTGAGAGATCCTATAAAAAATATTTAAAAAATATAGTGCGCAACTTATTAATTGATTAAATATTTATTAATTAAAAAATTTCAACAACTATTTTCGTAAGCATTGTGTATTTTTCGAAATCAAAAAATTATAAAAAAATCTACAACGCGATGGAAATGAAAGTAAAGTAAACTAAAATCACTGGTAAAAATCGCCTTTTACTAATTCTTAGTTTAAAAACAAAATCAAAAAAGACAAAAGCACTTCGAAATTTCAGCCAAATTTTAAATATTTTTAATCAAACTTAACAATATCAAATATGAATAAAGTTGAAAAAGTATTTGATAAAGCCATTGAAAGAAAAAAATACTTACGATAACAAAATGGTCCAGCGCGGTATCATCTTTGAGCGGTGTGGTATCGTCCGGAGCCTGGGTACAGCCGCAGAGATCTGCCGGAGCGGAATGGATCGGGAGTACTAGCGGCTGAAACCTTGTATACCCCCGCGGCCCGCCTGTACTTGCCACTTGAACTTGGATTTATCTCTATCTTATATACAGGGTGTCCGGTTTTACTTGTTTACAACTCGATTACGTTAAAATTTTAACGATACGTAACTGATACATCGAATAAAATAGAATTTTCACGATCGCGAGTAAATACTGAGTATTATTAGTATTTATATTTACGTGATAAAATTTATCTTTGAGTTTATAATACAAACATGCAATACGATCACTGGAACCCTTTAATATCTTAGTAGTATAAATCGGCTTAATTATTCGTTTTCGATTCATTAATTTCATAAGATTATTAATGATTACAATAGCGAGAAGATTTTTTGATACATTAACTGTTGGTACAAAATTTCAAGTAAAAAACGTACAATATTAAATTGAACAAGATGAACTTGTATTATATGGTGCGTTAATATACTTTTTTTTTTAATTTAATTTTAACATTGTATAAACATATTGTTATAGAAGTATTAATGTAAATTAATACTGATAAGTAGCTAAAGCCCCAGTAATATAGTACATAAAAAAATAATAAAATAATTTTCTCGACTCGGCCATTTGGATAATCGCATCAAGCTGTATAGTGCCGGAGAACAGGTATGGGGTACCAATGACCTGTTTAGCATAAACGCGCTCCCACGCTCCCCACATTCGCGATAGATTCTTGCACGCTCTTAAAATGTGATTTGCTCTATATTTAGGATGTGTAGTAAAACAAACATCGACGGGGCATCGCCGCGACGTGCACGCGGTCGCTAATGCGCCATAACGACGCCCGCCGTACAATACCGCACCGTAATTATAATTTCCCACGCTCCGGGTTTTTTTCGGAGTGTAAAATTGACATTCAAAGCTTGCTCTGTGCTCCGAAACCCGATGATCCATTTACTACGTGAATTGGAAAATTTCCTATAAAACCTCCGCGTATAAATTGAATGCGAATTTATTTTTCTAAAAGAACTGTGTGAAATATGATAATGACATAGTTTTCAAGACGTTTAATTTCTAAGATCCTTATGGAGTCCTTAGCTCTTTATAATGAGAATTTTTAGTTTCCCATTGAACCTAGATTAAGTACCGTATTTAAATTTAATTACAAAAAAAAATATAATAACGTAAAAAAAAATAGAAGAGTTCCATAAAAAGTGTGCTTTCTAGTAAAGATTGTTGAGACTTAAATCTAATGATTTTTTTCCATAATTACACATGTATTTTAAATGTGTTTATCTCAATATAATTTTAATGTAATCGAAAATTATTTTCTTTATTCATGGGTCTTATCAGAGAGATCGTGTTGTCTAAAGTATCGTAGTCTGATAAAATCGACTCGTAAGCGCTTTCCGGAAATAGCACAATAAAATTGTCAAAAGATAAAGAAATCAATATCCCGATACACGATACCATAGATTACGTGAATACGGCTAATAGAGGCAGTAATTGCTACAGTATTAAACTCTGTTTTGTTTACAAACAGGGCCGTTTCAACTCGTGTGCTGGGCCGCACGGGCGCCAGTTTCTTTAGGACGCCAACTAATAAATGGCCTTTAACAAGTTTCAAAAATTGGAATTTATCACAGAGGCGCCTTACTGATTTTCTCACTCGGGCGCTCGATACGGTGAAGACGACTCTATTACAAAGATAGATAAGTCTTTTTAATATTTTAAATTAAATGGAAAACTTAAGTGATTAAATTTTATAGCTTAATTTTGATTGCCAGTCACCTAATACCATGTTTGCACTTGTCGTTACCCTGTGTACAGTCACCCGCGCGGCCTTGGCGTACGTGAATCGGTTACTTACGATATCAAAGTTGTTCAAAGCATACTTATTTGGTGAGAACTTCCCAGCGGCCAGTAGTACGCATTAATTTGTAAATAGATGCTGTAATAATTGATGTACAAAATAAGTTAGATAAAGAATTGTTTTATTATTACAGTTTTATCTTTAATGTTAATACGATAATTAATTAGGAAAATATATTTCAGATCTACTACAAAAATATAGTAAGAAAAATGAAATATTTTTGATAAAGGTAGGCCTTCCATCCTTAAACAAATAGGACTACTATTGGGTAATATACCCCAGGTAGACTATAATTCCTTGACAGCTTTAAGCACTGCTAAGGATTTTTTTTAACTTTAGTCTCGTTCAATCATACTTCATACTAATATTATAAATGCGAATGTTTAGATGTTTGGTGGCTGAACGGAACTCAATGTGATTTGGAATACATATAGAACATAGTCTGGTAGAACACATAAGATACTAATTAAGTTTTTTTTTTAATCGACGTAGACGGAATCTCAGATGATAGCTATTTTTATAAAACAACACTCCCTCGTAATGTTATCAGGCGATGCAATTTTATCATGAATTCCTCGCAGACGAGCCGTTTTCTTGATATATCTATCTCCAATCAGATCGCCATTAATGTTTCGTCTCATGTACGAACCTGTCTACTTATTGTCAGCAGTAACCATGCAGTGACTACTTAATTAAAGTTTTTTCTACATAAATAACTATCTGTTTTCCATAATATTAACATTAGAGATATTGATTACTTAAAAATAATAATTAAAACATTAAGAAGATAACAGTTGCATTTTAGTGTATATTATTTATTATTGAAATTTGTCGAAGCGTCTAAAACCATTTTTTTATTTTAAGTTCACTTTGGTGCATACCTCGTAATATAATTGAATATATTGATATATACGTTGTTACAATTCTTTTTAAGCATATCCTTAGGTAAAACCACTACTGAGGTTAGAGTAGACAGCTGGGTGACCGCCTAGGTCTCTGGACATTAGGGGTCCTATAGGTCTGAGAATTACAGTCTCACGTAATCTTATTAAATCTCGTCCCTCAAGGCATGTTTAAGACGCGTCGTAGAAAGTAGGAACTGAGTAAAACACATTATAACTATATGTTTATCTCATACATTAAGAAGTTAAGAATTCAAACAACATTGTTGAGGAAAAAACATGTTGGAATTTTTTTTTTGCGAAAATTATAACTCAATACGCTTCAGGGATGGGTTTATGCAATAAAAGTAATTTTATATTAATAAACTTTATTTTTATTAAATTTTAGAAAAATGTACATTTTTAACGAGTATTACAGGCAAAGATAGGCAGGATTCGATATTATGCATTTTAAGACGATATTTAGCACCTTAATAGTAAACAGAAATTCTTATTAACTAAAGGTTAGAAGTGTGGGGTTAACGTTTATATGGAGAGATATTCCTTAATGCTTTATCTGAAATACTTGATTATTTACAAAAACACATCGCAATAAAAATAAATGACCCTTCTTCAAGTTTTCTGTAAAAATATTTTTGAAAAATACATTTTGCCGAAAAAAAAAATGTTTTTTTGGGATCATTGGCCTTGATTGTTTTTTTTTCAAATGCGGAATCGAAGGGATTTTTAGGGTTCACATGTAATAGTGTACGGAACATTTCTACCAATTTTGTAGTCTGCAAATAGTAGCTTCAATATCTTAATTAGACTGAAGTAATACAAATGTATAAAAATATTCGAAAAATATCCATAGTAATTATTAATTTACGTCTATATTTTAAATGTAACAAAAACATATTGTCAAATCCTTCGTTTAATACAATCGCTTGATTATAAATATTACGAGAGGAGAGTAGCCAATAATCTTTGAAAAAACATAGACAAGATTTTGTTATAGATAATACAAGAAGACTTTTATATCTGTAACGTTTTAATTTCTAATAATAATGGCAGGTCTCAGATTAAATAAAAAAATAAAATGTTATCACAATAATAGTATTTTATCACGTCATAGACAGAATCCCATCTGAGAGTGGGGAATAGAAGAAATCCTCGTTCCTCCTCCGCCATCGCACCGCGAACACGACCAGTACAAGTAGACCCATAATTAATAGAACATTCACACTGACACTCACAATCAAACCAGTTTTATAACCTGTACCAGAATCTGGTACAGTTTCCTGGTTATCTGGTACGGTATACTCTGGCGTATTCTTCGGGTCTACTTGATAGTTTGGTGGTGTTGGCAAATCCAGGCCCCTGATGAAGTAGGAGACTAATTGCTGCACCTGTACCGGTTTGTCGATTGGTGAGAGATGTCCCGCGTCCTGGACTAATACTTCTGTAAAACCTCCGCCGGTTTTAACGAACCTGTAAATTGTTTTGAAAAGCTTGTATTTAACAGTGGGCCAGCTCGCCCGGTGCGATATCACGACTACACAGAAGACAGGCGTCAAGTGAAAGCAATACCACGTTGCCTATCCTTGGAAGGAGACGTGGTTTTAGAGGAGACGAGGTCTCATAGAAAAGGGAAATTTCCTCTTTCGGCGCATGTCCTCCATCGCGTGAAGCTAGGCAACGCATCTGTAGTTGCGATGTCTAGATTGATAAAGATTGAATAATGTGCAGAGGTCGCTTCGCTATTTTGGCGAATTCAGGTGCTTACATGTTTGGAAAAAAAGTTTGAAATATGTTTTCCCGGATTCTCCTTAACATAGTGATAGGACGAAATTACATCAATGTCCTTTATATCTATATTTCTGCCTTATTCCCATCCCTCGCCCCCTACACCTAAAATGTATAATTGTAGGATGTTGTCAGTTACCCAGCACGAGACTCGTTGTACCACCAGGGTGTGCGCGGCGCGCGCAGGAACATCTCGCGCCCGCTCCAGTGCCAGTGCTGGCGCCGCCACTCCGCCGCTGGCACACATGGCGTTGTCAAGTCCAGCTGACCGCTGCAAATACAAGTAAGTATACTGCAAAATTATTTTTTTATCTTCCATCCATCTTCTATCCTAACTTAATGAGTACTCTCACTAACGGTGAAGGAAAACGTCGTGATGCAACCTGCACATATCTAAGAAGATATTCAAAGATATGTGTGAAGTCAACCAACCCTCAATTGGCCAAAGTTGACTACGGCCTAGCCACCCTTAATTTAGGGTAGGTTCCGAGCACCAGTGGGGGCGATTAGTGAGCTGATGATGATTCTAACTTCTTCCACTTATTATATTTACAGATGTTAGAATTTTTAACCGACTGCAAAAAGGAGGAGGTACTCAAGTATATGTTTTGTTACTTTGCAATAGCTATTTAAAATGACTTACCAATAGATGAGGACTCTGCAATGTTCCAATACAGAGGACATAATCGGTGACATTGGGTTCAAGAAATCTTCAACAATATACGTATGAACACTGTGATTGCTGAAGGTGAAACGTATGCTGCCAACATGCAGCGCCTCGCGGACATTCTCCAATGCAATATATTCACTAAAATCCTCCAAATCCCGATAACTCTTCAATACATTATACGTATCAGGCTTAAAAGCTATCTGCTGCAATTTGTCGAGCAACGAGTTTCTAAGCTGGAACACGTCAATATATAGATTAAAGAAGCTTCGCATTTTCTCTAATTATAAAAAAAAACTATTGCCCGAGACTCCGTTCGGGAAATTAAAAAACTAGTAGCCTATGTATTCTTTCGACCTATGTTCTACATCTATGTTTAATTTCATCGAGATCCACGCAGCCATTCTGGAAATACCTTGTAACAAACATCCATCCATTTATCTAAACTTTCGCATTTATAATATTAGTAAAAATTACTGTCGCCTCGACTCCGTCTGCGTGGATTTAAATAAAAACTTAATAGATTATGTATGTTCTTTTAGACTATGTTCTACATGTATTCCAAATTTCATCAAAAACCTTGCGGCCGTTCCTTTGAACATCCATACATCTCAACGTTCACATTCACAGTAAGAAGAAAGATAGAAGAGACATGCATACCTCAACAGCAGCACTGGAATTTCCTTTTTGAACGGCCTGTATAAACTGTTCCTGAAGGGAGCTGGCAGCGATCACCCCCTGCCGGTCTATCAGACCCCAGTTGTAGAAAACCGAGGTGAAGTTTGTCTCCCCCTTGCGGTCTAACGCTGGATTACCCATTATTAAACCCTGGAAAATTGTCACCAATTGGAACTTCGGTTCGTAAAATAATGAGGAAATGCCCATATTTTTTTTATTATTACAATAACATATAATAGAAATAAAGCATATATACAGGATGTTAAATCAATTTGACAGCTTAAAATATGAGAACAGGTTAGTGCCACTGATGATAGGCTATTGCTTATAAATAACAGTTCTTGTGTCGTTCTGGTTTAAACGCGCCTGTTGATGTTCCTGACAACACTATCGCTATACAACGCTACCAACCAAAATAGCGAATATCAATGTTAAGTGCAATTTAAATAAACAAAGATGTAAAATGATCTTTATTATTATCTAACAATGCAATACAACAAATTTTACCAACTTTTAAGTTAAAAGGTATTTTTCCATGTTCGTTCATCTCCTGCAATGCTTTGTTTGCGAATGCCGGTATGTAATGTCCACCGTAGGATTCGCCAGCCACGTATAATTCGCTAGATTGTAACACAGGGAACAGCACAACCAATTGCTTGACTGCTGTGTACAATTGGTTGGAATACTGCAAAAGTGGAAAGTGAAGTATTCTAGGAAAATTCAAAAAATGTCTTTATATGTGAAATCTTAAAAAAAACAGTCTTGACAGACAGACGGACGGACAACAAAGTGATCCTATAAGGGTTCCGTTTTTTCCTATGAGGTACGGAACCCTAAATAACAATATATTGTATTTAAATGTAAAAAATAATTAAAGTCTAAGGCTGAAACTTACAGTTCGTGCTTAGAATTTGCTCTGTCTCTCATGCTTAACTTACGTCAATCTTATCTTAGGCTTTGCTAAGACTTACGTCGCAATTCGAATTTACAGTCGTTATGGGCTGAGCAAGTGCTAAGCCAGAGCTAAGACAAATTTTGACAGTGTTTCTATACGCGTAATATATTTTTAGTAATTCAATAATAATTATTGGCATTTACAAAAATAATATTTATGATATGTATCTTATGATACATAACATAAATATTATTTTTAAATATTTATATATTATTTTTCTTTATTGTTGATTCCTATATTGTTAATCTTTTTGCATAATTAACGGATAAACAATTTCGTCGTACCATAGACATATTTCTTGCGAATCCATCATTGCTGTCAGTGAAACTGAATCCAGCGCCTACTGGGTTATCGATGAACACCATGGAGTACTCCCTACACCATGAGGAATCACGTTCTATAAGAAAACAATTTTACTTATAGATAATATTAGATTAACGATAACAATGCTTTTAAGTATTATTCACAGATTTCTATAAATTGAAATATATCTATTGTTTAACTCACTTTTTAAACCTAAATCTTTCTTGTATTCAAATGGACCGACTTCATCAAACACACCAACAAGACTGGTCGCACCGGGACCTCCTTGCAGCCAAATAATCCATGGCGTCTTATCAACTGGCTTATCAGGAACCGGGAAGTACCAGAAGAATAGATTTGAGTTGTATTTTTTATCAACCGTAAGGAATCCGGAATAGCTGGTCACATTTAAGAATAGTAAAGGATCAACGCTAGCAAGTTTTCTCGCCTCTTCAGTTTTATTCGCTTCAATAAGAGGCGTAAGAATCAATGCTGGTGTTACAGATTCTGTTATTTTTATACTGAAATAAAAATAATATTATTTAGAAAACATCCTGTGTATACATATAGTATGAATCAAATATACGAAGTCTCAGTAATTTGATTGCTGATTACTTATTACGTTTGAAAGAAAAATACTTAAGTCGGGTGGGATCGTCTTCAAATTTTCTATTTACTATCACAAACCTTATATTTCAGTTACATTTTTAATTATGTTTTTATCCTACTCGAAGGATCATTTAAAATTTTCATTAAGTTGTTTAGTTAGAACGATTAATATTTTTGGCAGTAAAAAGCCTATAACAGAGATAGTATATATATATATATAGTAGAGTGAATAGGCACTTACTAAGCTAGCGCGTACCATCTTTCGACCAAATCTCTACTTCACCAGGTGGGATCGTGGTCAAGCGCTAGCTTATAAAACGTAAAAAAAAAAAAAAAAAACAAATTTTTAACTTCATCTTTATCATCTCTCTTTTCCTTAGTAACGAAAATGTTGTCTTTACTATTGATATTAATTTAACTAATTGCGAGTATGACGCAAGACGCGCATTTATTGGTATGCATGCGTACAACATTGCAACATGTTTCTGAGACCTTCATGGCTGCAGACGTAAATAAAATCTATTTATATCTCAAGAGAGTTTATATCTCTCTGCAATATATCATCCTTTGTAGATATACGATACCTAAAGTCTGAGTACATTATTCTGCTGTGCCTAAGGTGAATGAGCTACAATAAATAATTAAAAATATACGAATATTTATTAAGTATTGACAGTTTATAAAAATGTGTATTAAGAGTTTAATATTAAATTGAACTAAATACAAATATTATATCTGAGAAAAAATCAAATGGGGAAATCACGATTTTCGTAATATTTAATTTTAATTAAAAAAAAGAATTGATACCCGGTTCCCCTGAGAAAATAAAATAGCAATTATTATTTCTATCATAATAGATATTATGGAACAGAGACTGTAAGAGTTTGTTATTCATTTAACTTATAAGTTTTGTACTAAGGTTTTATATATAGTTTTTACTTGACATGGATAGACATGCAAATTTTACTACAGTTTAACCATAATTACTTTCCTTTGCATTTAATTAATTATTAATAACAACCTAACCTCAAATTAACAATACCTAACTTAATATAATTAGTAACATTTAAACAATTTATCTTTGGAATTACATATACAATATATTTGTGTACATTTTTTTAATTTTATTCAAGTAATTGTCCATTACAATGACACGTACTTACTTAAATTACAGATTAACATTTAAATTCACAATACAAAGTAAACAAATACATATACCAATTCTAATACACAACAGAAATTAATAAACCTACATAACATATTGTACACAAGCTATACAATACAAAAATCCACTTACCTTAAAATAAAAACTAAGGTAAAAACTAATTTCATCTTAGATAACAACTTATTGACTAATTAAACAAAAACAATTAACTAAACTCGGAAACAAAAGTTACATTTATTAACCACACATAGACAACTGATAAAGGATCAACTACAGAAGGAAAACGAAAATAGGTTGGTTATGTTATCATAATTTACGATTGACGTGAGACATTCAGTGTTTACACATACATTTTGAATTTCTAACAAAAGAAGATGACATCGCGCGTTGCGGAATTTCGAAAATACAATGTTTTATCGTAGTTAACAAGAGAATTGAAAATTTACAATAATATATAAAAAATGTTACTCTCACTATGTCCGACAATTTATAAGTAACCTCATGTAGAAAAAACTACTAAATAAGAATATGCGATAGGAATATTATAATGGCAACACTGAAAATGAGTCATGGCGCGTAGATTAAAAACAAGCGCCAATAGGGGCTCGACTTTCCATTCAAAACACACGCACACACTCATAGAATGAACACCATTACAAACAAAAATGTACTCACTAGTCGGCATAAATAAACAGGTTCTTCATTAATCATTATTATTGCCATGCGGGAAAACCATGCGTAATGTTTTTATTTATAATTATTGTAAGGAAAAAAAGATGCATGAAGTAATTGTAGGCTACTTTCAAATATTCTTTAGCATTAAATTCAAGCGCGTCAATCATCGATTCTCTAGGATCTTGGAGCAGGTTGTAAAAAATATTTTTTTATTCCAAATTTGATGGTAATTAGCTAGGTGATGGGATAAAATTACAAGTAGTTTTTTAAATATCTTTGTGGATAATTTATATTTACATTTTTTAAGTTTTGGCGAATCTGAAGACCCCATCTCTATTACCATTTAAAAATATCCAGATCAATAAAAATAAAACACGTAAATAACATAAAACATTTATAATTATTATTAGCGCTTATTAAAACAAAACAAAAAACTTGTACTATAACTGTTAGGGTTAACATCAAAGGTAAATTGCAGTTGTGTTTGCTATAAAACTGGTTATGAATGATGCTTCTAAGCGAGGAAAGGATGGGCTTAGTTTTTGGTTGTGCGTCCATTTTGTAATGAGGTCCCGGGCAGGAGCCGGCACGTCCATGGGTACCATGTGTCCCGCCCCTATGAACACTACCTCAGTCAGACCTCCGCCGGTTTTATGATATCTGTGGAATATATATATATATATATATATATATATATATATATATATATATATATATATATATATATATATATATATATATATATATATACAAGCAAATAGTATATAATCATTCCAAAATAATATGAATAAATTTTGTTCAAAACTTTTCAAGATATTGGCGGAAATAAAAAAAAAGGAGTCATAAACTTTAAAACACTTTAGCACCCAATCTTAGCAAGTTTGGGGGCGCTGCCTGGAAAATGATGGATATTTTCGGCTAACCGGGGATTTCTAAGATCAAAATCCTCGTTTATTACATGTCGTTACCAGTTTTGTTAAAGATGACAGAGATGAAGATATTTTTTTTTACAGAGGTTTTGGTTTCAGAAACCCACGGTATAAAATATGTGGTCACATAAAATATCCCCACGACATTTTGTGTACATAGAAGTATAACTATAATAACTAAGTATTTCGATTCTCAGAACACGTATTTTTGAAAACCTTTGAGAAAAAGCGTCTACTTCCAGGATGTTCCACTTTCCTTGGAGGTCCCATCAAAAAATGTCATCCCGTATATTAAGATAAATAAGTAATAAGTATGTGTATTAAAAAAAAACATCGTACCCAGCAAGTTTATTTGAATATAAGTACGGTAATCTTGTTGCATTTATGAATTTTTCCGTCTCATTCCATTTCCATGTTCGATAGTTCTCCGAATTTGTGACACATGGCATCATCAGATCTAAGTGACCGCTGAAAATTATAAAAAAAAACGAAAAATAAGATTGCTATTCATTAAAAATGTGTTATGTCTGGTTTACATTATGCCAGTACAGGAGAGCAGCGCTGGCCTCGAAGGGACTGTACTGGATCACTGGCACCAGTACAGTAGAACAGTAGGGCCCAAAATCAGCGCTGGCATACCTACAGCTGGTATAATGTATACCAGATATTATATGTACTGATTGTGATTTGTCATTTTATTCGTCACCCATTTCTTAATCGTGTAACATTTACACAATCCATCCAATTAAAAAGATAATAAACGTAATCGGCCAAGGCCATGTGTAAATATGAATTGTTATTTATAACAAGAGGTCATTGAGTCACTCAATAAGTGCCTACGATATAAAAATCTTCTATAATTTTGTAATAAAAGAAGTATTTATCACTCACCAATACGCGAGCACCCTGTAATGTTCCAACAGAGTTTCGAAGTGCGGTTTACTGCTGCTTAAGAAATCCGAATTGAGTTGGTAATTGACAATCATATTGACGAAGCTGTAGTTTGTCCTACGCACATGTATCGCTTTTTGTATGTCCATCCGATTCAAGAATTTCACGTATCTGCCTACCCCTAATTCGTAGCGTAAGAAGTTATATCCGTGCTGCTGATGGGTCAACATTAGAAGAAGAGAGATGAGGTTGATCCATTTCTATAAAATTAGGAAAAGAAAAAGTAGTATTGAAAATGGTTTACTTTGTAATACAAGCTGGCAACGAAGATGTCACCAGCAATCGCTGAAATGAAAAAAAAAAGACCGCTGTCAACCGCTGTCCATAGACATCAACAATATTTGCAAGTAGCAGTTAATTTGCCCTCCTATAATTTGCAAAGGAAAGGATGTGCAGAAACAGGATTATACTCTTTACTAGTCATCCCCTACCGCGTTAAATCATTCTCTCATTCATATCCATTTTCTAATAAGAAAGTCAAGACAATAACTATAAGCGAGTGCAACTCGTACGTTGCTCTTTGACTACTCACATTTTTAGCTAATGAGCTGTTTTTGGCAGCCACATGTTCCGCCACCGCGTTCGACATTGGTCTCAGCATTTCCACCTGCTCCTTTCCTATCAAACCTAAGTTATAGAAGGGCCGGACTGTGAGGGGAATAACTGCAGGGTCCACATACGCATTACCGATCATTAAACCCTGAAAGTTAAAGTTAAGTTCTCGTAAACTAATAGCATTAAAAGTTACACACTTTCTTTTTTTAGTTTTTATGTATGCGATTTAGTTTTGTACCTGCCATCATTTGCTTATACTTCGTATGTTTTACCTTGAAATTAACACGATGTTCTGGTAAATGTATTCTTTTATGTATCTCCAGGCCCAGTGCAGGAACGTACTTTCCCGCGTACGACTCGCCAGCGATGTAGAGCGGCGCTTCCTTCAGCTCGGGAAACATCTGGACGAACTGGTGGAACGCGATGTACAGCTGACTGGAATACTGAATGACAGATGACGTTACACCGCTGGTCAAAGAAGTTAACTAACTTTTTTACTAAAAGTTGCTATAGTTAGGAAGAAAATCCGAAAATGTGTAGTGTAAGGGTATAGACCAAACTCTAGCCTTACTAAAATGTCGACGTTTATGTCCCCTCACTATTCATTCTGACACTGGACTTTGGAACGAAATCACGTTATTCGCGCCAAATTAATAAAGTCTAAAACTATATTATTACCGTAGGCATATCTCGTACGTATCCGCGTTTATCATCAGTAAAACTGAATCCAACTCCTACGGGGTTGTCGAAAAACAACAAGGAATGGTTCTGCAGCCATGAGTACGGGTTACCTGGAGAATTAAAGATAAAATTGAGTGGGTTTTATCTTACCCTAAGTCTTCGTCGTCTATAAGAGCATCGGTGACTCAGGAGTTAACCCTTGACTTGCAATCTGCAGGTCCTGTGTTCGAATCCCGCCAAGTATGTACCAATATGTTTTTCAATTTTCGATTTACATATATACATTTATTCGACGTTCTTACGATGAAGGAAAACATCGTGATGCAACCTGTAACATATCTGCGAAGAAATTCAAAGATATGTGTGAAGTCAATTAACCCGCACTGGGCCATCGTGGTTTTGACTATGGCCTAGTCACCCCTAATTTAAGCTAGGCTCCAAGCCCCTCATCGGGGATGTACAGTGAGCTGATGATGATGAAGTCTTTATCAATTGGACATTATAGACATTAGAATTTAAAAAAAATTGACGATGTTTAAAGAACGATGGACAGGTAGAGTGGAGATGCAGCTTGCAATGTAAGGGGCGACATTGTAGTGTCCGATAACTTTGACATATGGGGAGTACTTAACTGATGTCTTGATTGTTATGTTAACTAATATATGCTGTCACTTTAAAAAAAAACAAAATTATTTAGCAAGACTAAAGAGTGCTAAAAACCAGCGCGTCATTTAGGGTTTATAAAATTATTTTCAATGTGCTTTCAAATGGACTTAGGTATGTATAGAGAGAACATAGTAAATTGTTTTTTCCACTCAAAATTTTATAGTTTATTTCAGGCAATAAATAACCGACTAAAAAAAAATATTTGTATATTCTGGAATATCACAAGTGTGCAATGTAGTTTATTAAATGTTGGTTACTCATTTTATTCAACTTAATACAATAGAAATGTGCGAACAAAAGAAATATCTATCTAAATGAGTATTTATTAACTTTTCATCAATGGTGAATATTTTCATTGTAAAAATACCATCCATTGGTGGACGCCAAACATTAACGTAAATTGATTATTCAAGGATGTATAATTTTAAAAAGCTATTAACTTTTAAATAATTTTAATTATCTTCTTCTATCTATATATATAATAGAAAGTCGTGTTAGTTACACTATTCAAGAACGGCTTTACCAATATATTATATATAGGAGGTACCTTAGAGCCAGGAGTAGGACATAGGATACTATTTATTCTTTTTTATTCCGAATTTATGCCTTGAAGAGGTGCTTTTTGATGAGTGATGAGCCGATGTGATGTGGATGGGTGTTTGAAGATGTCTCTAGAACGGCTGAACGGATCTCGATTTAATTTGGCATACGTATAGAACATAGTCTGAAAGAACACATAAGCTACACTAATTAACTTTTTTATATATCCATGCGGACGGAGTCGCGGGCGACAGCTAGTAAGTTATAAAATACAAAACATACAACACTCTAATATTAATAAAAATCAAATTGTACAAACATCATTTCTACTTACGTGCCAAATTTAATTTAGCGTCCATTTTAAGCGGTCCAATTTCCTCAAAAAGTCCTGTCATACTAGACGCACCGGGACCGCCTTGTAACCAAATAATCCAAGGTGTTTCACCAACCGGCTTATCCACAATTGGGAAGTACCAAAAGAACATATTAGAATTATAAGTTTTGTTCACAGTAAAATATCCTGAATAACTTTTAAAACCTAGAAATGTTTTTGGATTGACAAAACTTGCGTTCCTTGCTTCATTGATTCTTCCTTGTTCAATGTATGGTGTCAATACTAGTGGTTCTAAATGTTCAGTTTCATTATTTGTTTTTTCTTGTCTTGTATTCACTTTAGTTTTTGATTTGATTGTAATATCAATTTTAGTTTTATTATCGTCAACATTTATTTCGTTATATGATAAAATCTTCGCATCTTTTGCATCTGTGTTATTTATCATCTGTACTTTAATTTTTGACGGATCTAAAGAATTTAATAATTCAGTAATCTTTTCCCTGCTCAATACCACTTTACAGTTGACACTAAAAAAAGTTTAAAAAAACATTAGCAATTATTACTTTTAATACATCAAATAAAGAATATCGTAGGATATAGAAAATCTTTAACCATCAGTTTCCATTGCTAGAGTACTTAAACCAAAACATATGATTGTTTCTAAAATAAAGAAAATAAAAAGAAAGATGTTGTTGTACATGTGGCAGCAATGAAATCCCAAGCTAACAATATATAACTTCTAAATGGTCAAATATCACAATTTATTTAAAATCATAATAAAGCTTACCTCGACAATAAAGTACACAACACGCACGTAATAAATATTTTTATAAAATACATTTTATATTATATTAATTATTGCACATGTCGAATTAACACGTTCCGTTTAGAATTGTACGTTAAATGACAGAGACTAGATAATGTTACACGATTTCCTTGTTATCAGTTGAACTGCTTGATCCCGACTTTGTAATGATGATTTGTAATATACCTATAATAATTGTTATGCATTTTTACATCGAATGAATAGAAAAAAGATTAAACACAATTCTTATTAACGGATATTTGTAATTCTTAAAATGTTATTGTAAAAATATTATACGATAAACAGTGCGGCGTTCCGTTAGATTGTAAGACGCGTCTGAATTAAGTTTTTATATTCACTTCCTTTTGTTGAAACCAGTTTCCTTTATGTCCGATATACAAGAACGAGATGATTTTTATCTTTTACTCATATGTATTTTTGGTATCTTAAGATATAAGGTGACCTAAAAATTAACAAAGACAATAACTCTAGACGAAGCGCAAATGGGATCTAAATATATTTAAGCCTGTAGGTGCTAAGAGAGGGCGCTGTGGTTGGAAGTTGCCTATCTGGTTCTTGCGGCGTCGCGCATAGCTTATTTATGTTCATTTTGTGATTCCTGATTTGGTAAGATTTTTAGGGTTCCGTATCTCATAGGAAAAAAACGGAACCCTTAAAGGATTACTTTGTTGTCCGTCCGTCTGTCAAGTCCCTTTATTTATATCCAACATTCATGTCACAAATACCTTATTCTTTTTCTATGCCCATTGATGACAAATAAAAACTACTAAGAGCACGTCACAATAAAACATTCGGCAGTTAACTAAAACTTATTAAGAGAGAGGGATAATATGTTGGGATCTAAAATACAATAAAGAATATATAAAGTACCAACTTTATTATCATTGATTGCCTCACATAATGTTTTGGTAGGGCAAGTCATTGACCCAAATGTACACTAAAAATTACGATTGTGTTTAACGCCTGCAGCTCACTACTACCAAAGCGAACTGAAAGCGATGAAAAACATCTTTAGCATACACTTATAAACACGGACAACAGTATTTACTTCTTGTCTGCTTTCTATCAAACATTTTCATTTCATACCAAAACTTCGCTACGCTTCTGGTTTGCTGTTGTGGTTATGTGCGACATGCATAAAACCAGTTCACTTTATACGTCCGTTATTTCTTAAACTTGTTTTACATGCTTATATTTATTTGCAAGAAAAGTTCGCTCACCTGATATACTTAACATAACAATGGCTCTGAGTTTTAAACAATACTAAATAAATATAGACATGGTAACATGTTATAGGTACATCCAGAATCGTCTTGTCTCTTTCTCTATGTTATCCCACGTTATAATTAAAAATGCTTTTAAATAACTGCTAGCTGTCGCGACATAGTGTGCGCGGAATTAAAAATAAACTTATTAAGTATTTTTTTATATCATAAGGTCAGATCAAACGAGAGACCACCTGAAATCGCTGAAATAGCGTATATAATACCGTTATCCATAGACACACGCAACTACATATGCGTTGCCTACCTTTAATCGACGGAGGAGACCATGTACGGAAAAAAAATATTTTCCCTTCCTATGCATCCTCTAATCCGGAAAGTCCACTACCAATTCCCATCCCTTTTCTTATAAGAAAAAGGGTGGGAAGGGAAAGAGGACAAAATTAGGCCTCCGAGACGCACATTCATCAGACGAAACGCGGAATTGCTTTCACTTTCACCACCACTTGCAGTGGTCGTGGTATTTCACCGGGTGAGCAGGGCCAATTCTTGAGAAAATGTCAAAGCGGGCTCTACCACTCTTAAAGTAGCCATTTATCCGTTCTGGAGATACGTTAACAAACATCCATCCATAAGATTTACATATCTATAAGTTAGTAGAGTACCTCAACAATGCTGCGTCATTTTTTTTTGAAAAACATATTTTTTATGTCTCAAACATCTTACACATATTTATGAGAGAATATTAAAATGAAAAATAATAGTTCCTCAGATTCCATAGTGAGTTCAGGTCAGTAGTAAATAAAACTCAAATTCGTTTAATACGATTTTTAATACATCCAATATAACATTTAAGAACAACATATATCTTCTAACTCCAACTGCCACAACCGTGTTACCCTGGTAGGGCAGAATTAAACACAATTTGAAATTATATTTCACGGCTTTTGTGGCAGCGCGGCAAAGTTCACATCCCTCGTAAATTCGTAATAAAATGACAGGCGCTATAATTAACTGAGTCTCATAATGATCTACTTATAATTTAAATACTATGAATTCATAATTTAAAAATTCAGTAATTTGCCAGATATAATAGGTACCAGTAGGTTTTACTTGAACATAGACTCCTACTTTTTTGTAAGCGCAACATTAATATAAGCTGCGGACTAATACAATATTTAACTTTAATGCATTTAATAAAGTCTTAAAAAACCTTGTCTACGTGACAGTATTAAACACCGATTCTATACGTATGCTTCCACATTACTAGACTACTGCATTGAGTTTAATTTTTTTTTAAACTTTCCTGGTAACATGAGACAACGTGATCCAAATAAAGATAAAAAAGAATAACAATTTAAATACATAGATTTTAATAAAGGTTATGAAGTCAAAATCAAAACTGCTTAGGGTTAGATAAATAAACACGAGTATATATTCACCGTAGAGCGTAGCGTGACGTAGCACGTAGCTAATGCTACGTTACTAAAATAAGTAGATATAAAACGTAAAGGGGTAAATCGCAAATAGTCGGAGTCATACATACACATGATTTTGAATCACAGGTGCACATGTACAATACATAAGTATTAATTTTATTTAGGCTTCGTTCAAGCTGCCGACTGTGAGCAAGTTTATTGTGCGTCTATGTCTATGCCTATGTGAACATGAAATCACATTGCATTTAAGATCAGCTACTGCACCACGTGTGTAAATACGTAGCTTCAATTCGGTGTCCGAAAAAATATATTATCAATTGAATATGCTCACAATCGACTGACAATACTTTTAGTTTGAACATGACCTTAATTTTACCTAAGCTTAAAACCTAAAGACATCAATAGTATATATTTATAATAAAATACAGTAAATACTATCAGGACGTATCCTTAGCTTGTATAATAAGAGTCTTAATTTCTTTTCTCTCCAATATACAAGCTCCTTCTCATTCTTCTCGGTGATAAACTTTACAAATGATAAGATATCAGAGTATTTAACCGTCACTATCATATGCGGCAATGTTGGCCACACTGACTCGGGTGCGCCGTAATGGTAGCACTGAGCAGTTCCAGTCAGTTCCTTCCAAGTAGCCGACGAGAGGAGACGTCCTTCAGTAACAGCACACCTTATACTTAGTATGTTCGAAAGATATATAGATAGGGTAATACAACATCTATTTGCTCCAACAACTATTTTATTAGGACTTCTGGCGTCTTATACTTCAAATAAATCTTTGGCACACATAAAGCGGGGGGCGATCTTTGGTGATCAACAAACTACACACTAATTTAATATACAAATATCTACATTTATTCTAAAAAGAGCTTACGGAAACGAAGATTTAGAAAGTTGGACAATTAAGCATATTACGATTTTAGTAACGCCAACATCCAAGTTATGAGTATACTCCAAAGGACCAGAGCAAAGGCAAAGTGAAATAAAGAAGAATGAAGTTATTGGGCGCTTTCATAGACCATAGGATAGATAAATATCTTAGATAAAGTAGTTGTTGACATCCACAATCAAAATGTTTAAAAGATAGTCGGCATTTCGCTGATGTTGTTTTTAAACCTTGGATTATTCTTTAAAATCTCACGAAAGGTGTTCGTTACCAATATAATACGCATGCAATCAACTAAAGTTTCACGCATCGTCACGCTGATTAAACGAATATTCCTAATTTCCTCTATTTCCCTTTTTTCAACAGACTCCGGGTCAGTTTTGGTTCCTGGAATAAATTATCAATCTATATATATGTATAAAAGAAAGTCGTGTTAGTTACACTGTTTATAACTCAAGAACGGCTTTACCGATATGCCTGAAAATTGGTGAGAAGGTAACTTAGAGCCAGGAGACGGACATAGGATACTATTTATTCATTTTTTTTTTCGAATTTATGCCTTGAAGAGCTGCTTGTTATTTAACTTACTAATATTATAAATGCGAATGTTAAGATGAATTTGAAGTTGAGGGATGGATGGGTGGGCTACACAAATTAAGTTTTTTATATATCCAACGAATTAAAAAACATGATAAGTAAGATGTGTTCTTCCAGACTATGTTCTACATGTGTGCCGAATTTTATTAAAATTCGTTAAGCCTTTCCGGAGATACCTTAAAACAAACATCCATCCATCCAAACATTCGCTTTTATAATATTAGTAAGACGTAGAATCAAATATTTGAGTATAAGATATAATACATTATTAGTTTTTCGATAGAATAGCACCAAATATTCATTTAAATGAAATATTTTTACATTCGCTTGACTCAAAACATGTTGTCTATGATTAGGTATGTATGTATGTTCATATTCTTACTAAAACATTTTAAGATAGAATTTAAAAATTACGTACTTTCAGCTTGAACCTCCAACTTCATTTTGCGATCAAATTCAATCGCATCACTCATATCCGTAAACGAGTGACAACGACGGAGAATTGCCGGTGCTGTGAAGAAAGGTAAAATATGAGAAAGAGTATCACGCGTACAACGCAAATCTCTTCATCTCATATCTCAATATCTTCCGATTACCACCATTTGTTACCACTCCTTGCACCATAAAAATGCATAAGCATTTGTTAACAAAATTATTGATACTTGCTACAAAACAAGTATTAAGAATTTTGTAAATTAAAAGTAATCACTTATCAGTTTCATGTTCCAAGAAACTTGCAAATTATAATTGTTTTGTGTGGTTGCACAAACAAAAGCTCAAGATACAGTATGAACTAAGCGAGTAAATAAAAAAGAATTACCTTCAAATTCCATGTCATCTGAATCGGCATTGCGTGGATGCTTGTCGCACACATCGTCCAGAGCTATAATAATTTATCATAATTACGCAATCCAAATTGCAGAAAGACAACAACAGACATAAAATAAAAGTACCTGAAGTATCCTTCATTCGCTTATTTATATAATACTTTTTAATCGCAATGCAGGCATTGGTAAAAGCGCGGCCGTCTTTTACGAATAGACTCAGTGTTCGTGCTGGCTAAGATAAAATTATAAACAATTTTGTGTGTATG